AAAAAAAAACTCTTGACACAAACCAGGACACTTCTGTTTTTTAGTCTTTCCTAACTTGTCTACCTCAACTCTAGCAGTAAGCATAAAACTAATGCTGACATGCTCAGTAGATGTTCGGTTTGCCTAACTGGTCAAAGAATTTTTTTCACGTCAGATGTAGCATCAGTGCCGGCTAAAAATTCTGTTTTCACTCTTGGCTGTTTTCACCAGTTATTCCAAATAAATATGCTATCGAAGAAAGAGGAAAGAATTTTTTTTCATAAACCTTCCGTTAACCCTGAAAGTTTGTTTTTTCCGAATATATAGATCAGTGACCTTTCTGGACTGATATTTAAATTTATCTATCAGTACAGTATTTTGTTCAACTATCACATTTCAAAAATGTGTTCAAAAATATTAATGGTAGTTAAACTTTAACTGACATATTTCTCTCTTCTTCTGCTTAAAAACTAGCAATTGAATTGAAGCTAAATAACTTATTAGTATGATATTTAATGTTTTTTATTCTCGAATCTATAATGGCTGTTAGTGTAGTTTTAAAACTATGCAAATGATCAACTTAAGTAGGCAATTATGAAATGTGACCTCACAAACCATCTTTATCTTTTTACAAAAATAGTTACAAAAGGGTTTTATTTTTTAAGCTATAGTTGGTTTACACTTTGTTAACAAATACTAAAATTGGTATTAATATTTCATACTAAACTTTAAAAAAACATTTAATTTGAATAGACGATAAGAATTCTATGGCAACAAAAGAAATAAAAAATGCTGCCCACGCAGCAAATTTCTGTTCGAGTGTTGCGTTGGACAATTATGGGCAATAGTCACATGCGAATATTTGGTATGATATGATTTCATCAAGTTTGACTTGCCTATAATAACTAAAAGTTGAAGAAAAGCAAGGTGAAAAAAGTGATGTTTATTAGAAAAAAGTATGCATTTTTTCTGGAGTAAGCAAAATTCGACTTCTTTGGGCTTTTGATGACAAATGATAGTTAGTTAGTCAGCATGACTTTTTCTTCCTATTAGTAAACTCAAAACTGATAGTAAAAACTAACAAATTAAGCTTTAAAAAACCTGCAAACAATAATTAAGTCTACTGCTATAAAGAAATGAAAATACTACGGTTATCTAAGCAATTAAAATTTCTTATTTACTGATATTGCTAAATAACTGCAGGTGTTTCCGAGGTGGCAGAAAAGCCGTATCAATGAACATTGATTCGCATTCATAAAACAGCACAGAATCGTTTTAAAATTTTTGCTGTCTTTCTTGCTGTAGCATAAAATCTACTGCTGCAGTGACAGGTACTGATCAGGATACACTAGAAAAATTCTACGAAATCTTAGGACACGTTGTGAAGATTTTAGAAAAAGCTTTCTTTTCTATACAGGACGGTTGTCTTGTACGAAGTTTATACGGACTAAAATTAATTAATCCAACTTAAATTCTGAAGTTCGGAGATTTTTGTTTTGTTTTTTTTTTTTCATCATTCAGGTTTTTTCTCTTTCGTTTTCATTTTTTGAGATGTTGACATCAGTTATCTGACAGGAAAACTGTCAGTAAGACAACAGTCAAAGTTGATTTCAATTGTCCCAGTTACTTTCGCTGAGCAAATAGTCGTTTACAAATGATGTTTCAGTTTATGAAAATTTCTTTTACCATAATCTTATGGCAAATCGAAAGTTCACAACAAACAGTCTGATGTTAACTGAACACATAAAAGATGACAGATTTATATGAATAACAACAGAGATGGTGTCTTTTGATGCAATGAAACCGGAAATTCGCTAAAACAATAAAAAAAAAGTTATAGCCTTGAGTAAACATTGCAAGTGTCTTTATAAAACTAAACTTTGACTTTAAACCATAACTTTTGTATCTTTCAGAGCGTTTTGCTAACTCATTAGACTTTTTTTCTTCAATTTTCCAACCATTCGCTGCCTTCATGGTCTTTTTCGGCTTCACACTTTTGATTGATCAGATTCCTTAATTTGTTGACAAAGCTCTTCAAACGAAATATTTTTGTCTACAGATATTTTCAGTTCGTAAAAATAGGAGATTAAAGAAAGATAATATTTCTGATTATTTATTAAACATTACTGTAAAAATAAAACAAAGACCTAGCTTTTTTTTTTTTTATAAATACAAGGTTTTCTACAGAAGTAGTTGCCAAAAATTTTAAGTTTTACAATCAACAAAATTTTCTGGCTGTTTTTTTTAATACAGTATTTTACAACCAAATATTTTTTTAGCATAATTTGTAGTTTTACAGTTTTTATGGCAGCATTGTCAGTGACAACGTACGACAAATGTGAAACCTGGAAACGATATTCTAGGACCAGAACTCATGCTCTCCATGTTGGTAATCGAACACTGTTTGTCAACGCTTATTATTTGGCCGAACTTAGTCAGTTTTATGAAAAACTATTTTTTGATGATTTTAAAGAGGTAACATACAGAAAGTATTTTTAAATTTTTTCCAACTTTTGCTTTTTTCTAAATCTGAAAGATTTGGTTAAATGATATCCGAAGTACTTCACGTAGTTCAAAAGCTTATGGTCAACATGGAGTGTAAATTCTGTTGAAAAATAATGACTCTCTATGCACAGTGCAGTGATACTGAGCACTGTGGATAAACACTGTTAAATCTAAAGTTTCACCTCCTACTTTACAGGCTAAAGAACAAACTGTAGAGTTGCCTGATGAGGATGTTGATGATGTAATGGAATTCCTAACAGTAGTCACAGATACAAAGCGAAAAAAACGTAAAGCAGTTGACGGTTAGCATTCACAGTATTCATTACAGCCAAATTTTATATTTATATCAAATTCTTAAATTACTTCTATACTCTAACATCAAATCTACTGATTTCTAAGAAGACTATGACCATAAATGATTGGGTATTTTAGGTAAAAAAATTCTTTATTAGTTAAATTTGTGTAAATTCAGTTCGCCGTGTTTATTTGCTTTGGGTGAGTATTACATAAACGAGATATATATTACAGAATACAACTGCTCGCTGATGATTCGTTATGCAGATTTATGGGCAGTACAGTCATTGAGGGAACGATGTGAAGAATTTTTGGTGGAGGAGTATCCATTGATAAAAGCCGATTTTCACTGCGCATTAACGATTGCTTCGATGGTTATACAGCATAACTTTTCGGCAAAAGCGGTTGAAAACGCTGTTAGTCGTCTGGCGTACTTCGGTACTGAAACTTTAATTCAAGCAAACGTCTTTGACATGGTAAATACAATTGC